GTTCCCATGCCTCACGGATGGCTCGCTGAGCGTGTTTCTCGACGGTGAAGAGGAGCTGCTCGCCCCCGGGACAGTTTCCCTCGGCCAAGACGTGCAAGTCTCGGCGGCCAACCTTCCTGGAGCCTTCCGCTCGTTCGGCTTCGAAAAGGTTCGCGGATTCTGAGTACAATCTTATCACCCTCCGCCGTATCACACCGATGTATTGGTCTCTGGTCTTCAGCCCGGCTTGCCCTTGCCTCGCTGACACCCGGCGTGTGTTACTTTTGGGGTAGATTTGATTCGAAAACTGAGTTCAGGCAACCAATTCAATCGGTCTCCCTGAGCCGTTTTGCCCGCGCATTCCCCGGAATGTCCAGACATGCTGACCATCTCACAGTACTGGGAACGCAAGAGACTCGAGAGCGCCCGGCACGGTCGCCGCCTGAGCACGACGGTGGGCATTGGCAAATGGATCCCCGGGGTAAGAATTCCGATTTTTTCCGCCGACAAGCCCAGTTGCTGATGGCGGAGACACCAATATTACAACGTCGTGTTTCAAGGACGCTTTGATCAGCAAAAATGTAGAGGCTTCAGAACATCTCATTGTCATGGTTCTTTCGTCCTTTCCCTTGCACCGACGTGTTTCTCTCGAGGACCCCACCGCCAACAACATGGACGAGTGTATCGAGTACGTGGCTCGTGCCGAGGTTGAAGAAGGTGTATTTACTCACCAGTCCGGGCACGCCTCCTTCCAGGTAGTGACTCCCAAGGCTACGGTCCGCCTGAGCCACGGTAGGCTTCACCAGATCGCCATGCGTGACCCTACGGACAAGTACGATCTCCACGATCACCTCACCTGGCAGATGAACATGGCCGTTGACCATAATGAAGTATGAGTCGTCCGGTAGCATTCAAACACCCATTACCGTCTGCATCCAGTGAGCAGGCAGCTATAGCTATAGCTATATGTACATATTTATTTATTTATTCTCCCATCATTGGACTCTGTCGTCTGCCCCTCTGCCCCCCTTCCTCCACTTCTACTAGCTAGACGACCCAACCGGGGTCACATAAGAGGGGGGGGTGGATCCCCTCCTGCGGTTCCTGCCTGATATATTTTTATCGCGAGAAGGGTACAGCAATCCCTTCCCTCGCGACTTATGAAGTCGAACAAGTTTACAAACAACGAGCTTTGCAGCGGGTCGCTTCCAACGGAGACCAGGATTTAATAAGCGAGAAAAACTCACTCTGCCGAGACTCGAACCCATGACTTGGCCCATAGCAGGCTGCGAGGTTACCTACCCACTAGACCCCCGGGGCGGCCGGTGTTGCGTGGAGGGACGAAGCATTGTGTGGCGTTCAAACAAGACGTTGCAGGCACATATTTTTTAAGCTGTAAGAAGCACCTTCACAATCACTCCCCGGCCGTCCGGTGAACTGTCACGTACAGGTCAGACGCGACGCCAAAGGAATTCTTGGTGAGACGTTCATTCCGACGCGTGACGCCAACGGCAACCCGATCATGGTCGGAATGGAGGCAATCCGAGGACAGCAGAAGCACTGTAAGACCCCCGAGAGCACCGCCTGGTAGATGTTTTGGCCCAATAGTCGAGGGCGCCGTCCAATTTCCGATGCTTTCTATTGCAAAACATGAAACCTCTACAAAATCCAATCAACTTTGACTGTCGGGCAGGTTTGACACCTTTTCAGCACCCGCACCTACTATACCGGTAGTAAGTGACATCCGAGCGAACAAGGGCACGACTTGAAGTAAGACGAATGACTGTTGGAATGCCACGTGCAAGTTGTTTCTACTCGAAACGTTCTTCACTTCGTAGGTCTGTTCGTGCAGGATCACTGCCCGTGACACGCCTAAGCACCGCGCACCTCAACCAACCCCCCACTTACAGTCACTCTCCGTAGTTCTTCGAGGCATAAAGTGTCCGATTGCGGAGGTTTGGGTTTGTGTCGTTTTGTCCTCTTAGGTGTAATAGAAAATTTCCTGCGCCGAGGGTTTCCGCCTCCAGTCTCACGATTTTCCTTAAATCAGTAATCGCTGCGCCTCTTGTGCCGCTTATTTCCCCCGGCTTGCTCTGTGGGTTGGCAGACCGCGTCGAGGGCATTGGGCACGGACTTCGTTCAAGATGCGCGCAACTAACCAACCAGAAGCGGCATGGTTACCCACTATTTCCACGACAATGTAGAAGGAGGACGATCGTTGAGGTTTTTACAGGTTTGTCAGCGGCGGCAGGGTTGGCAGCGCGGGGTTATGATGATGGAATGTGAGTCATACATTTCGTTCTCGCTCGGGGAACTTTTACAGTTTGCCAGGAAAACGAGGAACTGGGACACGCTTCTTAGAGAGCGAAAGGCGGCCAGAAGGGGTAGTTTAAATTGGGATCTACCAGGGGTTGCTGTCGTTCTGCGACGGGGACCGCTTTGGAGGCACGGGATGGTGGCCAAGCTCTGAGAACGAATAAAACGGGTTCCTCCTTGGAGTGAAGGCGTTGAGTACAAACGCATTCGTTCGGGCGCATGGTAAGTTGTCTAGCATGTTGTGTGGTATCATTTTCGCCGCCCGCAGCCGCACGCATCTGATTATTTTGTTGTTGCTTGTTTCTGGTACCTCGTTCCCGTCTCTCTCTCGGAATATGAGAGGGTTGTTGTTCGTCATCTACTCCTTTTTGTGAGGGCTCGCCATCTTTCGCACAGGCGGTGATTTTTTTAGGCACTTGCCTGGGGTGATTCTTGTGGTTAGACAGCCTAAGAGGTTTCGAGGAGGGGTTTGTAGATGAGGTTGGGACGATATCAACCAGGTACGCCATTGGAGAACAATCAGACGAAGACTGTGATTCTTTCCCGATGATTCTGAGTCCCTAGGTCTCTCGTGTCCGTAGCGCAAGTTCTCAAACTGATGTTCGATTCCCGCGTTTTTTACCCCCAAGTTCTTGACAGACCGCATTTCCTTTTTTTATTTGGGCTTAGAGTTTACAATCTCCGGTTTCTTCTCTATTTGGCCCGAGGGTAGCCCCGGCTCATCTGAAGCATTTTCCTTCTTTCCCAGGGAGCATATGTATGTATGTGTGGAGTCGAGTATGATAAGAGTTGGTCGCGGTGACGAAGAAGGAATGTACGTCTGGATGAGAGTCCATCCATGTGGAATGAAAGAAGGAAAGAAGCAACAAGTAATGAAGCAACATTTTTGTCCGTGTTTGACTTGAAGGCTCACTCAACGTTCGCATGAGTTCGTTAAATATTTACATCGCATCTGTACATGAGACAACTGTAGAAACACAGCGATACATACAACGGCGCTCACCTTCGTGCCAAAACACGACGCAGTATTATATAGTTCAGGCGTGCATTCTGTGTTTGATATACTGCTGGACAGGCAGAGTGCTTTGATAGGAAGTGTATTCAGTTATCCGTCATAGCTCTATCATTTTCTAGAAGAATTTTCCTTCTGGTGAGCTTGACGTTGTTCTTGACATGCGTATGTTCAGCAGCTGTCATTTTGACTATCACAGCTTGCTGAGTCGTACCACGCACATTGGTAAGTCGTTAGAATTTCTTGTTGCTGGCGGCTAGTTGATGCATAGCATATGATTGGTCAACCTGATGTTGAGCACGTTTCGTGCACGCATGAGACGACGTCAGTCGGGTCTTTACCCAAGGGGTCATATTGCCTGGTTGGTTGACACTTAGATATTTTTTGAGTGTGCTTCCGTCGGTGTACTTTGCTTGGATGGTGCAGCCCCCGTGCAACCCCCATCCTCTCACTCTGTATTTCTTCCGGTCTCGCCGACTAAACAACTACACTCTCTTTTCACCAGTTTTTTTCCCTGAGAACGCCTCGTGCAAGAGCCCGCCGGCACGACTCTCTCACGGACGTTGATGGCCATCGGCAGTATAGGCCGTGTCGCAACGCACGACGTGCGGATACGCTGTGCTCTGAGTTACGCTCGTGACCGACCGCAGGATCGCATCAGGTGCTTTGCTTACGTACATCGGATGTCACTCGCAATAGAATATCTCTTATCGTACGCACTAGCTACGGAGATTTGGACCGTTCTCTTTCCGCCCACTCTACTAGTGTAATCTAGGTACGCGGTTTTCGTCAGCTTCAAGACTCGCACCACACCTCCATGCCAGAGCGAGGCGTCCAATATCCTGACAAGAACGAGGCGAGACGTCGGGGGTTCCCGACCCGAGGCTTCCCCCTTCGAGCGTGCCCTCCGCTCACTGCGATGCAGTCCACAATCACCAAAAGGGAGAGGTCATCATATCGCCTGCAGCGAATGCTACATAGCAGAACTGCGTTGCGGCTGTGCAGTTTTGCCTAAATGTTCTACATGTATTTAAAAGCGCCGCCTGCTACAGCAGCACCATGCCCAACATCTATCTTGCACAGCCATACACAGGACCGACGAGAAAAGAAGAGACTCACTTCCGGGGTAAACCGGCAGTACCGCGAGGCTTGAGGTGACAAGCCCGGCATGTCGCTCATCCCCCCATGCTTGACTCCCTTGACGTTCCTGACGGCAACTAGGCCCACTTGGAGGGAACCCACCTCGAGCGTATCTTCTAGTCCGACAGCAGCCATGATGGAAAACCAAGCACCTGAAACATGAAACACAGAGCAGCTGCGGTGGATCTCTGCAGTTAATTAAGGAAATTTGACAACGATGGCAAACTTGCTCCCTGAAATTGAGAATCGGAGAGAGCGGTTCGCGCAGTGCGGGGTACAAACCGCCAGGCAAGCCGTAGGACCATCCACTCACTGCACTGGGCGAAGCAGCTGGTGCCTGGCACAGCACGAGCAAAGCAAGACCGAACCAGCTTGCCACGGTCAGGGGTTCTCGCTGCCAGGGCAACGCTCAAACCTGGTTTGGTTTTTGGTTCGCCTCGCGAACCCGTGAACCCGGGTGCGAAGACTGGTAGTCTCTGGTCTCGTGGAGCGTGGAGCTGTCGTGGGGCGTATACGAACACCAGAACACCCACGCGAAAAGCACCGACAGAGGATGCCGACACCAAAGGGGCGAAATCGGAAAGCAAGAAGGGCGGCGGCTGCGTCCCAGTCTGCTGCTGACCCAGCAGTAGAGGCAGAGGCGGGGAGTTCGAAAGCAGCGGTGGAAGGCAAGAGAGCTGCCAGCCACGAGAAGCAGCGGCGACAGGAGCAGCAGTGGCAGCAGCAGCTCGAACCTAGCAACAAGGAGGAGGCTGCGAGTATCGTCGCTCCTGACGCCTTGCCAGGTGGACAGGGCTCGGCATCCAAGGGGAAGTGCGGTGGCAAGAAGAAAGACACAACAGCCGCCAGGGGAACACACGCAAGGAATGGTGAGCAACACGGCGTGGCGAGAGAGTGGCTGTGGTATTGATCATCTCAGCGGCCAGCTTCATGATGGTGCCTAGCATTGCTGATTCAAACATGAGTCCTGCTTGACGTCCTCCTGTTTGTTGTCGCATGGTCGCGGGGCACTCCTGCTGTGGCCGGTTGATGCCGCAAGGTACGTGTGAATGTACGACATTGCGACCCTTCGAGCTGTGTACACACACAACGGCAGGCTCTGTGCGCTCTAGAGGGCGTGTCGCTGCACCTCGAAACGACTCGCCACACCTAACGATTTATCAGCTGTAGTGAGTGGCAGAACTCCTCTGTTTCCTGCTCTGTCCAGGTGTTGCAAGGACGGAGGTAGGCATATGCGGCTATACCTGAGCCTACACAAGCACCGGCCAGCTGCGTGCTCTGGCCGGCACTCGTCTACTACGTAAGACAACTGCCGCCCCGATGATTGACCAGATGCAGGACTCGAGCGGCGGAGTTTTCTGCCCCGTCCACGGGTGTTGCAATGCAGGAGGCAGATAACATGACGGCTTACCAAGGCAACACCCCGTGGAAACGAATAGTGTAACTCCTTGCCTCCCCTTCTCCTGACAACTCCCTCGAACTCCTGCTTCTCGACATCTAGGAAAGAAGAAGGAAGCCGCCAAGTCCGGCGGCGAAGACGGCGGCAACATCGCCGATCTGGATGCGGACGATTTCTTGAACGGCGGCTTCATATCCATGGCATGCATTCCCGACAACGAGGACAAGGCGGACGACGCGGAAAGGGAGTTCGAGGGCAGCGGCGGCGATGATGACGGCAGTAGCGATGACGACGACGGCGTTGACGGCAGCAGCAGTGATGACGAAGATGATGAAGGCGGCGACGGTAGGTGGTGATTGCCGCAGTGCAGCATGCTTGGCAGGACACCCGTACCGTAGAGCCCACAGCCTGAAGAGCGTGTGTTTGTTGTCTTGGAATTAATCTCTTGTCGAGCTTGTAAAGGAAACCTCTCCCACGATTCTTGATTTTTAAGAATGGTCAAGCCGCGGGTTGGTGTGTGTTTCGCGTGTAGGTTGTATGTTCCATATCACGATTGTTGCTGTATCTCAACAGCTCCGTTGTCGACCCTGGAATAACTGCATCACTCATGGCACGGTGGTGCAACCCCCGTTGTGTCAGGTGGGATAGTCGGGGAAGATGAAAGCGACAGCGACGACGAGGACGCAAATGCTAGCGCGATGGATCTGAAGGGGCTGGCGGAAACCGACCCAGAGTTTTACAGTTTCTTGCAGGTAAGGTTCGTTTAGGTCCCGCGGAGGCTTTCTTTTCGGGAGGAAGGGGGGCGGCAGCGGGGGAACGAGCCGTCTAAGACAGGTCGCTACAATGCCCAACCGTTGTGCCCGTTCTCTTAATCTAGAGGACAGAAGTTGCGGATGTTGCGGACGCACTGAATACAGATCGCAATGGCTGGTAGCTTATGTCAACAGCATCATCAACAGGTGTTCGACACGAAGACATGGAACAAAATCCCCTCCCATGATACCACTCCCGTTTGGCCATTATGTGCATGGATGCTCTTCATGATATCGAGTGCCCCCGCCCACCCCCGTTCGTTCGATTGACCCGCCGACCGCAACAGAAAGAGGAACCTACCTTGCTTGAGTTCGACCCGATGGACAGCGATGACTCCGAGGATGAAGACGGAGACGGAGGGGAGGGCGCGGAAGCGGCTGCAGAGGGAGCGGGCGGAGAGGCAGGGGCGGAGACGATTACCACCAAGAGCACGGCGGCGCTACTTCGGCAAGCTTCCAAGTGGGTGATCTGTCGTTTTCTATCTCCTTTGTGTTTTTTGTTGTGTATTTGTGGTTTTTGGTTCATCGAGGTGGCTCAATCTCCGGCGATCGAAGTTTTTTTTTGCGCTGCTCTCCTCTGGCGAAGAGGCCAACAGATTGTGGTGCCTCTTTGGCAATCCTTGTGCGAGACTATCGCCGTTCTAGTACACCATCGATGCCGTTACTCGTTCAAACTCGTTTGATTTTCTCTCGGTATTTCTGCGCCCGTTGCATCCAAACCCTTCTAGACGGCAATGGGCGTTTTTACAGCTACATCTGGCCGTAAGTTCTGGCAGTCGATGATGACCCACACCACGGGAAAATCATTGGTGGCGGGCAACGTTGTAAGGCAGGCAGATCTGTGAGCAGTTGGAAAGTGCATGGTACGATCTTCACCAGGGATAATTGAAAAGATCTTGAGTGGTTGTTTGCATATCGATGGTACGTGAATACCGTGTTGATGGTAGATCGCCTCCAGCTCTGAGATGCACTTTGTTTTTTGCGAGGGAGGGTCGGAAGCGAACACCATGCCGCCTGAGATTGAGGCCAAATAACCATGTGAGAGAAAAGGAAGAACCTTACGAAGAACAGTCTCAGCTGCTGCCAAGGTAGCAGATGCTGGCTTGTACGGGTGAGGGAGAGGGTTCCTCTTGAGGTTCGCATCGATCGCTCTCCCACGTTTCTAGCAACGCTGCTTTTGCTCTGCTCTTTCCTGAAGGCATCGTTCAAGTCCCATTCCACGCTCGCGCAGCTGCAGCTACTAACTACACGGCGCCCGTGTATTTTCTTGCTGAACGTTACGCCCGGACGGCGGGGCACGCACGGTTTTTCGTGCTGGTTCAGTACAAGCACGACACAGGAAATGATGTGACAGCTATTACAGCTACTCAAAGAATGTGTACCATACTTCGTGCTCTGCGGGTATACGACCGATGCTCCCGGCGGACCTGGTTTGTGAGCGTGCGTTTTCTTTTGCTCTGGTGTTGCTTGTCTTGAGACGATATTCCGTCAGCTACACAGACCAAGACGGCCTCGAGGGACCACCCCCCCCCCCCCCCCCCCCCCCCCCCCCCCCCCCCCCCCCC